CGACTCTGCCTCTCCAAACGTGTATATTAGTTACATTGTCATCAATGAGAAGATCATCAAAGGATTCTCTCTATTCTCAAATCTGTCAATCCTAACATGGTATCAGAGCTAGCCACGATCAGCTAGAGTCGATCCATCCCTCTTTTTTTTTTTCTCCCTTTCCTTCTCCGATTGGCCTTCTGTTCTTCTCTGTTTTTCAACATGACCAGCAGCTCATTCACTGACGGCGCCAACAATGGATCCACAAGTTCAGAGATCCAAATCGTTACTTTCAATCCGGCCGCCCAACTTCCTCTCAAGCTCACGCCGACGAACTTTGCGTCCTGGCGATCTCAACTCGAAACCCTTCTTATGGGTCTCGATTTATTCGGCTACATCGATGGTACCGTAATCGCTCCTCCTCAATTGATTACGGTGGATGCTGCTGTTATCTCCAATCCTGCCTATCGGAACTGGTTCAGGCAAGATAAATTAATCCTCCATGCCTTGCGTTGTTCCATTGACGAATCAATTTATTCGTTTGTCTCTGCCGCCTCCACTGCTCGTGATGCTTGGTTAATTCTGGAAAAGCTCTATGCTAGCAACGCAGAGTCGCGTATCATTCATTTGAAGGGAAAGCTTGCTAAAACAATTAAAGGCAATCGAGATATTCTCACCTTTGTCAATGAGCTGAAAACTACAGCGGCTGAACTTGCCCTCATTGATGAACCAGTCAAAGACATCGATCTGGTTGTTCATTGCATCCGTGGTCTGGGCGAAGAATACAAATCCTTCTCCACCGCCGTTCGTGCTCGCGGCCCTGGCCTAACCCTTGAGACCTCGTTGATTCTCTTGTTGAATATGAAGCCGACCTCAAGGCGCAGCAGCCCTCCTCTGTTCCGACGGTCTTCTACACTCATGGGCAGCGCTCCGGCGGCTTCTCTCATCCTCGATCTCACCGTGGCGGTTCTTCGTCGCAATCCTACACTGGTGCCTCCTCTCTTCGTGGCGCACCAGGCCTGCTTCAGCGGACTCAAAGCCCAGCCCGCCGTTTCTTCTCCGGCCCATCGTCCCCTGGCGAGTACTCAGGCCCATCATCTCCTCGTCTGGCCCGATTGGTTTGCCAATATTGTGAAAAACCTGGGCATACAGTGCGCTAGTGTTTTCAGCTGTTTCCACCGGCCCGTTCCACTTCTCAGCACCCTTCGCAGGCCCAAGCCCACTTCACTGCTGCCGCCTCTCCTCTACAGCCCTCTGATGGCAATTCTTCTTCGGCTTCCACTCCATGGTTGATGGATTCTGCTGCTTCCCATCACGTTACTGCTGATCTTGGGAATTTGTCTCTTTATTCTGACTATACCGGGCCTGATGAAATTCTCGTCGGCGATGGCACAGGTTTGCGGATTAGTCATATTGGTTCTTCTCACCTATCCGCTGGCTCCCATTCTCTTTCTCTGCATGATGTTTTGCATGTTCCTGCTATCACCAAACATCTTATTTCTGTGGCTCAATTGTGTCATACTAATCCAGTCTCTGTGGAATTCTTTGCCTCGTATTTTGTTGTGAAGAATCTTCGCACGGGGGCGCCGCTGTTGAGAGGGGAAAATCGAGGTGATGTGTATGAGCTGCCGCCAGAGACCGGACCAGTTCGCATGGCGCTCGTTACCACCCGCACTTCCACAAATTCATGGCATTCACGTCTTGGTCATCCCTCCGCTCATTCTCTGCGTAGTCTTCTTCGTTCAAATTCCCTTCCAGTTTCAGACTCCATTTCTCTTAGTCATTGTGATGCTTGTCTATCGAATAAATCCCATAAACTCCCTTTTGGTGTTTCCTCTCTGTCCAGTACCCGTCCATTTGATTTGTTATATACTGATGTATGGGGTCCAGCTCCGGTCACCTCCATTGATGGTTTTCAATATTATTTGATTATTGTCGATCATTTTACACGTTACACGTGGTTTTATCCACTTCGTCGCAAATCTGATGTTCTAACGGTCTTTCTTGATTTTCGATCCATGGTTGAGAACTATTTCTCTACCACTATCCGTCGTCTATACACTGATGGGGGTGGTGAATTTCAAAAATTATGCTCCACTCTCACCTCTCATGGCATCAGTCATCTTCTCACTCCTCCCCATACCCCGGAGCACAACGGTTTAGCAGAACGCAAACATCGCCACCTCGTCGAAACTGGTATAACTCTCCTTCATCATGCCAAATTCCCCTCCATTTTTGGTCCTATGCCTTCTCCACTGCCATTTATCTCATCAATCATTTACCCTCGTCTGCTCTTCGTGGTCAAATTCCATACATGATTCTATTCAACCAAAATCCTAACTACCATAAGCTTCGTATTTTTGGTTGTCTCTGCTATCCCTGGCTCCGTCCCTATTCCACAAATAAAATCGAACCTCGTTCTCGTCCCTGTCTTTTCCTAGGCTACTGCCCTCTGAGAAGTGCATATCGTTGTTTTGACCCTACTACTAAACGTCTTTATTTGTCTCGTCATGTTCAATTTGTGGAAGCTGTTTTTCCAGGATATTCCTCATCTCCCGCTGCTGCACCTCCACTGCCCGACGCCTGGCTCATGGACTCTAGTCCATCCATCACTATGCTCCCTGCGGCCCAGCCCATACACATCACAGCCCCTTCTCCTGGGCCCGTTTCCCCCTCCACAGCAGCTTCCTCGCTTGCGGCCTCCTCCACTTCAAGTTCGGCCTCCACAGCGACTGGGCCCTCTCCCGAGCCCACTACACCTCCGTCCGGGCCGCCCTCTTCTCCAGCCCTGCCTCCTCCTCCGGCCCGCAGTCACAACATGACAACACGGGCTCAGCATGGGATCTTTAAGCCCAAACGTTTATTCCATACCACAGCGGCCAGGTCTTCGTCTTCTTCAGCACCGCCGCTCGAGCCCTCCTCTGTTTATGAGGCTCTCCTCTATCCTGAATGGAACGAGGCACTCCAGGCTGAAAATCAGGCACTCCTCACCAATGAGACTTGGGATCTTGTTCCCCGTCTCCCTCACTACAACGTCTTGAGTAATCGCTGGGTATTCCGTGTCAAGCGCAACCCAGCGGGATTTATTGCTCGGTTTAAAACTCGATTGGTAGCCAAGGGGTACAATCAGCGTCCTGGGGTTGACTACGCCGACACATTCAGTCCGGTGGTTAAACCCGTCACCGTTCGCACCGTTTTCACCATTGCCTTGTCTCACAATTGGCCGATATCTCACTTCGACATCAACAATGCGTTTCTCCAAGGTCCTCTTCACGACGAGGTATATATGGTTCAGCCACCTGGGTTCGAGGATCCGGCTCGTCCTCATCATGTATGTCGCCTCAAGAGCGCCATTTACGGTCTTCGACAGGCCCCTCGGGCTTGGTATATGGCGCTCAGCGCCTTCCTTTTGGAGTTTGGTTTCTCTAAAGCACACTCTGACTCCTCTCTGTTTGTTTATAACCGGAATGGCCAGCTGCTCTATTTTCTTGTATATGTCGATGATCTGCTCCTCACAGGAAATAATGCTCAGCTCCTCGAAACTTTCCGGGAATCTCTGTCCGCCCGGTTCTCCTTGAAGACTCTCGTTATGTAAGCTACTTCCTCGGCATCGAGGTGATCCCGACTCCTACTGGCTATCTTTTATCACAACACAAATATATGAAAGAGGTTCTCCACCGATTTGCGATGCTTGATGCTGCTCCAGCCCCGACGCCTCTTGCGTCCACGGTCTCTCTCTCTCTTTCGGACGGCAGTCCCCCCACTGATGCCACTCGATTTCGCCAAATTCTTGGAGCTCTTCAGTACTTGGTTTATACGCGGCCTGATATTGCATTCTCGGTCAACAAATTGTCACAGTTCATGCACTCTCCCACTGCCTATCACTGGAACTGTGTGAAGCGATTGCTTCGTTATGTTGTTGGCACCCTCTCGCATGGCCTGGAGATTCGCCACTCGCCTCAACCTCTCCATCTCTCTGCCTTCGCCGACTCGGACTGGGCAGGCAATTTGGATGACAGGTCCTCTACTTCTGCTTACCTCGTCTACCTTGGGTCCACTCTCATCTCTTGGCGGTCCCAAAAGCAACGTACAGTCGCACGTTCAAGTACGGAGGTTGAGTACAGAGCCATTGCTCATGCTAGTGCGGAACTCGAGTGGCTGCAGAATCTCCTCACCGAACTACATCAACCCCTCCATGCTCCTCCTACACTCTACTCCGATAATCTTGGAGCTACATATTTCTGTGCCAATCCCCGGTTTCACTCCCGCATGAAGCACTTAGCACTTGACTACCAGTTTGTTCGGCAGCTTGTTCAAGATCAACGCCTTGTCATTCGTTACATTCCTACCGCTCACCAACTCGCCGATGTTCTGACTAAGCCACTTCCCGCTGCTCGCTTTCTTCTTCTACGGTCCAAGATCGGCGTCGTTGACACAACGTCCGTCTTGCGGGGGCGTATTAGCAATACATAATTATTTATTTATTTCCCCTCAACTTCCACTATATAATTCTGTTCCTACTTATGTGGATAGTGCTCAGCAGTCTGTTGCTAGCACTCCGACTCTGCCTCTCCAAACGTGTATATTAGTTACATTGTCATCAATGAGAAGATCATCCAAGGGTTCTCTCTATTCTCAAATCTGTCAATCCTAACAAGATGAACGCGTCTGGACATTAAACGTCTTCTTGGTAATTGGTAATGAATGCTTGGGGTTGGAAGAAGCTCAGCTTTCATCTTGGCTAGCCATTCTTCACCTAACCTTTCTTTGCATATTTAGTACATATATAAATAAAACCATGCATGTCACTATTTCTTGTTAAATATAAGATACTTTGGGTGCATATCATCAGCACTCTTTTACATAACTGATAAACTGACAGAAACAACCAATAGTTATATTTGGATGGAAAGAGATTTCCCACCCATAGATCACCTCAATCAGCTGGATTAGATCGACCACCGGCAAAGCAATTGAGTTGATATATCTCCGAGTCCAGCTTGGAGTGATGAAAGTGATCATCAAAACTGGTTAAAGAAATCGTGAATCTGTTTCGTAACTTCCTCCGGCTTCTCCTCGTTGAGAAAGTGACCAACGCCTTTCAGCACAACTATGTCCTCCAATAACGGCACATCCTTCTTGAATCCGCCATTGTTGATGTACGCCTCCGCTCCAGGGAACTTCAATGTCAGGTCCAGCTCCCCCACTATGAACTTCGTCGGCACCATCACTTTTGCCCCTGTCCATGGCCCCATCATCTCCCACGTTCTGCAACCACATCAAACACATTATGAATAGGCAATACTGTTGAAACTTGTTGCTCAATTAGTACGATAATGTCCGCTTTGGATAAAATCTGTACGGTTTTACTTTTGGGTATCCTTCCCAAAGTGTCTCGTACTAATAAGTTTGGTTGACACTAATGAACAAGGGTTTCTTTCCTTGTATTACCATTTACCGATTGATACTCTCCTAAAAAATAAAATAAAAAGGAAATAAAAAAGGGTTAATGGGACAAACAAATCAATGGAGCGGTAGTAGTTCAATGGTCCAGTGAAGCCGCTCTTGTCGAATTTGGCAGCATAGTAATCAACATCCTCTTGTGAGAGCCAGGAAGGCAAAGTGGGCGGATCCGGAAAGCCCACGAACCCGGTTTCCTTGGGTATGCAAGGCGGCTTCGGGTCACGGTACCCGAGAAATTTCATCAACACTTTCCCCGTATCCATCCCGGCGAACTCAGCCTCCATTTCTCCGGCCTCCTGGAACCTGCACATGTAAAAGTCATCTCCCAGCACGAATCTCGCTCCGGTCATCGGCGACACCCTCGACGAGGTCTTCAGGCTGAAGGGAACGCTGGTGTTGACCAGGGCCCGGACCCGATCGGGCCGAAGCAGGCAGAAGTGCCACGAGATAATGGCGCCCCAGTCGTGGCCCACTAAGAAGACTTGCTGGATCCCCAGCCCGTCCAGCAGGCCCACGAGATCGCCCACGACGTGGAAGGAGGTGTATTGGGCCGCCGGGCCCGGGGAGTCGGTGTCGCCGTAGCCGCGGAGGTCCGGGGCGATGCAGCGGTAGCCGAGGGAGGAGAGGGAGAGGAGCTGGTGCCGCCACGTGTACCAGAGCTCCGGGAATCCGTGGACGAACAGGATTGTGCGTGGGCCGGTGCCGATGGAGGCGACGTGCATTTTGATCCCGTTTGTGGAGATCGTTGTGTGCTCTATCTTCTCCATGTTGATGGGCGTTTTTGGTTGGGATTGTTATGGCTCGGATGTTCCGGTTAATATAGGGAGGAGAATTTGGTGGGTTCTTACGTTGAGATTTGGGTAGTACGCCGGCGGTGGCCGGCTGCAGATGGGTCCAAACCACAAAGTTGGCTTTCCCCGTTCGTAAGAACTTGTAATTGAATCAGAGGTTTTGTAATATGGTACGTATCTTTGGATCAAAATAGAATGTACAAGGATGTGAAGTAAGAGGGCAAGCTACCTTGTATAACGAAGAACGAGGGAGTTATTTATTTATTGAAAAGGAAAAGTGTTTTACAAAAACAATGAGCAAAGAGGTTAAACAGATATTAAGGAGTCCCATAACAAAAGCTCAGCGGCAAGAAATGGAAGTAATCTTCCCAAAATTTAAAGGGGTAAGCCAAAAATTTATGCAGAGAAGAAAACAACGAGAATTTCTTATTAGTGTTCTATTTTTCATGGACAGCTATAAGAAAACTCTACTAAAATCAGTGGCTTTGGCGTTACCGATTCATGTGTTGTGGTCTTGTTTTCAGCTATCCCTCGTATTATGTCAAAATTTGAATAAGCATTATGCTAGATTCTGATGGGTATTAAAACGAGAGGATCGAATGACTTCATTTGATGTCTTGGTCATTTCTGCGTCGTAGTAAGTATTATGGTGGCTTGGAATTTCGAAAGGTTTGAGGAATTCAATCAAGTTCTTTCAGGTAAAATTGGATGGCAAAATTAACAGAACTAAATAAACACCTCTAAACGACCTACCAACCCCAAGCCATAACCAATAGTAAATAATCTTCAGAGAACGAGCAGAATCCATGCCTTTCCAGCAAGAGTAGAAACCTCTTTTGCATATATGTCATCGGTCAAGAGAGAACATGATAAAAGTTAGCCAGATGATAGTGTAAAATTCTAGAGTTTCCATTTTACAATCACTTCTTCAATCGTTGGTAAATAGAAGAGAAAGAGGAAAAGGGACTCGCCATCAGACTCAGAGAGAGAGAGGATGGAGAATCACACACTGATTTGCAGGAGAGAGAGAGGTCAGAGAGCAACCCACTGATTCCGTGCGATCGAGAGAGATCGAAGAGCTAGGGATTCAGTGGAATAGAACGAACACGACTTAATTAAAAAATCTACACATAATATAATAGCAGAAAGGAAAAAACGCTTTCCCCCTTTCAAATTCCTGCTACAGGAGCGTTTGTAGGAAGGGTAGAATAGGGAGTACCATTTTTTTTCTCTTTTCTCTGTGGAACGGGCCAACTTACCCTACACATGCGGATTTAAACGTGTCAGGAATTGTTGCGGCCCACAAAAACAGAACAGGTTTCTTTAAACCCTTTTATTTCTCAGTGTTGATAAGATATATATGAAAGAGCAAAAAACAAAACTCCTTTTTATTGTTAAAAATAAAATTTTAACAATAAACTAATACATGGATTCTAATGGGCTAACCGCCTACCATAAAAATAAAAGAGTTGAACAGGTTTCTTTAAATCAAATGAACATCATGGGTTTGTCATCCTAAAGCAAGCTATTTTCTCTAGCATAACATATTATTTTATATCTTAGTGGCTAAAATATAATGTATTTTAAAGTTATAAAATGATTCAACCTCGACCAACTCAATTAGTCCAATTTTTATCGTTTCAAATATATATTATTATATAATTATTTGATATCATAATGATTAAATTATAGTTTAATTTTTAGGGAATCGTTTGGTATTTGTTAGTAAAAAACTAAACAAAAAGATCCATCTGATTATTTTTAACATTGAAACGAATAATTGGAGTTTAGCATGGGTCGGTCAAACATGCTGAATGTCAAGTTTTGGGCCGTTTTGATCAGGCCTAATTTATAATCACATGGTTCCCTGATAGCCGATAAAAATCTCAATCCTAACCAGTTCGGCAGCTGAGTCCGTGTTTACCACCATTTTGTAGGGATACAGGAACGGTGGTTCCTATCCCAAATCGTGCTGTTCGTTCTTGATTTCTTTAGATTTTATCATGTCCTGGCAAAAATTAGAAAGCACAATGACGACAAGATGAAAGTTTTATAAAGCAAATTAATCGGCCAGCGGGCTGAGTAAAAGCTAGCAACGATTGTGAGATGCTCATTTCCCGAAGACCGGCCGGATAGGCAATTTTTTATTCGGTTTTCTGGAATTTTGTTTCTAGAAAACTTACTCCAACTCATCATATTACCATAAATAATACAAGGTAACAGTTACTTGATTTTGGTTCATAAGGCTGATTTTTGCTTCGTTGCATCATCCATGTCACTTTCCTGCTAAAATTCAATATCTTTATCACGTATTTCCCAAGAAAAAAAAGTATACAACAATAAGCTATACACCTCATTACATTCTCAAATTTCATACCTCACCTTCCTCCGGCCAACTGGCCGGGGGCCACGCTAGTATAATATATAGCAGAGTAAGGATAAGTTTTTCAGCATTTTGAATTCCTTGCAACGAGAGTGAAAATAGACTGAGTAGAGTTGTATAGTTATATATTTATTATTAAAAAAAATAAATTAGTCCGAGATTTGAATCATGATATCTTCAAACAGATACAAGAATCACCAATAATTATACTAAACCAATTTGTTGTATCTTTCTAAATTAAAAACATACTGAAACATAAATTCTAAAAGTCAGGACACTAATTCAGTAATTCTCCAATTAGTATTTATATGGTGTTTGATATTTCGATTTCATATTTTGATAATTTTGATTTGTGTTGCATAATTAGTTAAATTTTTTTCTATATTATAAATGGATGATAGTTTTAAATACATAAACCACATATCATTAGTTAAATAATGCATATTGAAATATAGTATTGAATGTGTTGAATCGATGTAGAATACTTAACTTAGTATTAGTTTTAGAACTATCATAAATCAATGATATATTTGTGAAAACTATCAATGACCAATTCTTTAAAAGTTTTAGTTCGGTTAACCTATAAAATCTCTTGATAATCCGACATGATTGGATCAATGGGTGAGTTTAAAAGAAGATAATTTCTAAAAATTAATTTTTTTGAATCATTTCACTTATATATATATTTTTATCTTATAGAGTAACCATACGAATTATTCAAAATTATTTGGTTAAATGAACTAACCACGGTAAAAGGTAAATTGTGAAGTCGGTCATTTTCATGGATGCATTGATTTGCAGGGGTGGAAATTGGTACGGTATCGGTATCCCAATACCAAATACCGAAATCCCGAATACCGAATTATGAAAATAACAATAGATTGGTGGTTGACGATCATGTAGTAGTGAATGAGAGAGTCTAGTTGAGAGGATAAAATACACACTACCTTATATTTCGATATTATTCGGTATTTTGGTACATACCGATCCCAATCCCGTAATCTTGTAATCTCTAATACCAAATAACAATTGAAATTGAATCCCAATCCCAAATACCAAATACCAAATATAGACAAATTCGGTACGGTATTCAGTATATCCCAAATACCGGTACCAAACTTCTAGCATGAGAGGTACAATTTTATTTATTGAGTGAATATGATTGTCCGTCAACTAGATTTCAAGTATATTGATTGACAAACATTTTTTTATGAGAAGAGAGTCCATTTTATTGTGATAGTCACAAAAAGAATAGAGACACAAGATGTATTATGATATAGTTTGGATGACTACTTTGAGGACTTTGAGAACTAAGGAGTTCAATTCCTCCACGAGAAAGAATGAGGCTCTTCCAGGCATCTTACATCTTTTCCACTCTTTGGTTGATGAAATAGAATGTCCCTTTCATTAAATTTCTCCACATCGCCGGAACCCCGGATATTTACCGTGGCAATTAGAGGTGGTAAAACTAATGTGAGCATGTTAATATCTTATTTTGGTTCGAACTATACCCATATGATAAAGTTAGGCCCGTAGTTTCAGAAATTGCTATCATGGCCTCGACTATTCATGATATAGACTCAATTTCCCGGACATGTGGTTTGACCGTTAGTCAACTGACCAGCTCACTGCCATGCTAGCACCAAACAAAAGAAAATTCAAAATTATTTTATTATTTCCTTTATCTAATTAATCAATAATGAAAAAAACAAAAATTAATTTCGGCCACCCATCGTCAGCTTATCCCCTCGCCTCTTTCTGAAGATGTTGCCGCTTGCAAGATCTACTCCTTACCCAGAGGCCAGAACCCTCACCCGCTCATCCCACTCGCCTCTGTTCGTTGTTCTGTAGTTAACAAGTTTATGTGGTTTCCGCCAACAATGGTCTCGTGTTGGATTCTTGGATGGTACTACCGCGCGCCCTGCTGTTCCGCCAACAATGGCTCAAGAACTCACAAAATGGATGCAATCGGATGATAGGGTACGTTGGCTTCTCAAATCTTTGGATCCTTCTATTGTTCTTGGTTTGCGCCTTCTGCCAATAGCTGCTTCCATGTGGAATTCGCTGTGGGAAGTATACGCCAGCATGAGCGTCGCTCGACAGTTTGGAGTCGAGGTAGAGCTTGCGAACCTCCAACAAGGTGACATGGACGTCACCACTTATTTCAATACTGCTCGCATATTGTGGACGGAGCAGGATCTGATTGTTGTGGCGCTCCTCCCCACTGTTGTCTCGGCGGAAGTCAATGTCGAACGGAGCAAGACTCGGCTAATGTAGTTTCTGGCTCGGCTACGCCCAGATTTCGAAGCCGTCAGGTCCACCCTTCTCAACCGCGAGGCGCTGGAATTTGAACAGGTCTTGGGAGCTCTCATCCGCCAGGAAACTCGCCTGCGCACCAAATCCTCTCTCGATGCTTGACCTCGCCATGCTGAAGCTCCCGTTTTTGCCGCTGGCAAAGGTATATTTCGTGCCCCAGTGTCTCCCGCTGCTCATTCATTTGGTCTAGGGGCCCCTATTGTTGCTGCCACCGGACAAGAGGTTTCTGGAGGGCTTTCTAAGTCTGCCTTTGCGGCGTATCATGCTCACAACGCTG